GAGCTTTTTCATGGGTGAACATGGGTCACAAACTAATTAGATGACTGGACTACAGTCACTGCATGAATACGTGTAATTTCATCCTTCCCCAGAACCCTTCTGCTTTGTGTACGCTGAGTGGCAGCGCAGGTAGCCAGGCATCCGCTGCCAGCTCAGAGAGAGGATCCCTGGAGGGGCCGAGGCGCTTCCTCCTTCCTGAAATCTATGGAAGTTACGCACTGTGCACCTGCGTAGAGCTGACCCATTGAGCCCAATTTCCCCTGCGTTCATTACACTGGTCATCGCAAAGCTCAAGTCCTTTATATGCTGGGATGAAATATTCATATTTCATGGTGTGTGAGAGACCACTGTGGAGAGCAAGGAGGGTCTTGCCTGCATAGTTACAGGATGCTACTCTTCCCTGTGCAGTGTTTCATTATTGTAGCAACACAAGAGAAATTTTGGTATTTCACACATGACAGTAGTTGTTTTTTAGGCAGGTCATCAGGATTGCTCCTGACGGTAATGGCCATGCAATCAGTACTTGCAGGGGCAATGTAAAAGCCTGATCCTACAGATTTGATTCACAAGCATTAACCTACTGATTCATCGCTAGCAGAAGCAAGGTGTGCTCACACGATTGTGAGCATCTTTAAGAGGGCCTTAATGTGTATATGAAATGAACTCAGCCATGAGAGGTAGGGGCTGACCCAGTGAATAATGGCACGTTAAGCCACACGCTCCAAACAATGAAGCAAGTGCGTAACTGCGCTCCGCAAAGAGTCCCGGTGCGCTCAGCGGCAGCGCTGCTGAGAGTGAGGCTGCAAACATTCCTCGGTGCTGGCAAGACGGGTGTCTGTAGAGAGTTATTTTAGTTTCTGTTCACATTATATAGATGCCAGTTCTGTTAAGGTCTGCCTATTTTCCCCTTTAAAAAAAGTTCTGCTGCCTTTTTTGTGCGTGTTGTGATGCCACACAAATTCAAACCATTTCAAACAAGTGCCCATCTCTGCCTGTTTTGCCAGGCAGCGTTTGCATGTGCAGTGGTGATTTGCACAGAGTTCAAGCATTAACTCTCCCCTTGCAATTTCGGCTGTTTAAAATTCATCCCTAAACTGGTGTTCCCTCTCTCATATTTCCGAAGCTTTTGCTTAACTATTATGTAAAAAAGCTCAGTGCTTTGTGGTCTAGTAATCCCGCACGACAGAAGCAAAGCATGGCAGATAGAGACTCAGTTGTGGTTTGTTTACTGCTGTAATAAATTGGTGTCAAAATTCGAACGTAAAGAGTGCTACACCAGAATTGGTAATAGCAATCGTGAGTCCTGCTTCAAAGGGATTTTTGTACAAAAGACAAGTGCCTAAGTCCAACTCTTAGCATTAGAAAAGCTACAACGACTTGACACGTGAGGAAGAACTTCTTTACTGCGAGGGTGACAGAGCACTGGAACAGGCTGCCCAGAGAGGCTGTGGAGTCTCCTTCTCTGGAGATCTTCAAAACCCGCCTGGATGCCACCCTGTGCCACGTGCTCTGGGTGTCCCTGCTGGAGTGGGGGGGGTTGGACTAGGTAGAGGTCCCTTCCACCCTCAACCAGTCTGTGATTCTGTGTGAATCTGTGAGAAGTACCAACTTTAAATTTTCAGCATTGTTTCGCTACTCCCCCTCCTTGCTAGCATTCCTACGAGGTGCTTAATTCATTAATTCCTTCCAGAGTATTTGCACTGGATGTAGTAAGGGGACAATAAATTCCTATGACAGTTCCTTTCTTTGCATAAAAAAAAAAACTTATAAGGAGGACGATAGATTTAATTAACTAAAAATAAAAAAGCAGCTAGTATTAATAAGTAAAAAATGCCTTGCTTGAAAATAAGTAAAAAAATCCTTGCTTGATCTGTATAAAGTTATCCTCAGTGAGATATTTTCTGAGATATTTTTTCTATCCATCCTGCTCTTACCTAAGTCCTTAACTCACCTTCATAAAGTTTCTATGCAGTTTAAAAAGAAAAAAAGATGTAATGTCACCTTTAGTTTAATGTCCCTCATTTCAGGACGGGTAATGCCGCTAAAAGTTAGAGGAAACTGTAATTGTGTAATATTCTTTCTTCTGTTAAATTGTGGCATTTTGTATCTTTCTGCCTGTGAAATAAGCGGAGGTTATTTTGTATTTATATTAAGGAATTTGGATTAAGACGGAAAAAAAAAGTAGTGAATGAAATCCTGTTCAACATATTCCTTAATTTAAATATGAAATACTCTGTAGTTCTTGGCTAAAACAGGAGGAATTGAGAAAAGAGAAAAGAAAAAAAAAAAAGGAGGGCGGGCAGAGGGAAGCACAAATACTATACGTGCATTTTAGGCGCTGTACATAGATGTACGTACATCACTAAAATAACCCCTCTTATCTCTTACAACGCCTATAAAACGTTATCAGCTACTAATATACCCCAGATGGTTTTAAAGCCGCAGTTTATAACATCCATTCGGCCCTGTGTAATTTGGTCCTCGATGTAGAAGAAGGCATCTCCGCGAAACTCCAACCTCGGGACGCTGTGGCGCGAGGAGGAGGAGGGAGCGCAAGGGGCGCGCACAAGCAGCCGCGCGAGCGGCGGCC